CCAAACTAGATAAACGTTGCGTCCGTTGCGTGGCCGATGAGCACCCATTGGCCCACACTCTTCCCCTGTGCACCAGGCTCGGTGTCTGCCCAGTGCTGGAACGAGGGGAATGCAAGCTCGACTCCTGACATTTCGAATCAGTTCTGGAATCTTCAGGGAGCTGTTGCCGTCCCGAATTGTATTGCAAGGCCCGCCGACAGGCATGACCACTCCAGGTCAGTTGGGACGCGACCTTCCCCTCCCCCTGGCCCACAGTGCTTATGGCGCATGCCGACCGCTTCTAGCCAGCTGCCGACTCTGGAATGGCCTGCCCGACTGTATGAAGTCCATAGTATCTGTCCGTGAATTCAAGCGCATGTTACGCGTATTTTACTTCGGTTAAATGTAATGGCTTTCGTAACCTGCTGATGAAGCTCGATAGAATCATGCTACGATAACCCGAGTTGAAAATTTGAGATCCCTTTTTCTGCCCTGTCTGCCCTCATTGCTACTTCAATCTTCGTATTTTCGTATTTTTATTTCTTTTTCTCTTTATTTCTGACTCTTCTTACTGGTTGTCATCGCTTTCATAATATTGGGCAGAACTTCCCGTTTGACATGCGATGTAAAATAAATAAACAACAACAACAACAACTCGCGAACTAGCCAATTCTACGGCTTACCGAAGGACCACAAGCCAGGTCTTCCGCTGAGCCCGGTGGTTTCATCTTGTGGGTCGTCCACAGAAAATGTTTCGCTATTGTTGGAGCGTATCCTGAATCAACTGCTGAAATTTGTTCCTGTACATTTGTCGAGTACGGGTGAGTGTATTGATGTTCTACGTGAGGCAGAGCTAGGTGATCTTCCCGGAGATTGTATCATTGCTTCGTTAGATGTTGTCTCCCTGTATTCGAATATTCCCGTGGGTGGTGGTATCGATGCCGTGATGGAGTTGTTGGCGTCACACCACGCTGAAGTCGATATGTTCTGTTTGTGCTTGTTGGATGTTCGAGAGCTCCTTTTGTATGTACTTCACTCCAATCATTTCGAGTTTAATCGTGTTGGGTATAGGCAGCGGAAGGGATTAGCGATGGGCAACCATTTAGCACCCCCGATGGCGATCATATTCATGTCCAGGTTGGAGTCAGAGGAATTGTCGGTTTTCCCATGGAAACCACGTCTGTATCGACGGTACATTGACGACTGTGTAGTGGTATGGTGTCATGGTATCGTCAGGTTAATGGAGTTCGTTCAGTTCATGAGCAGCAGGCATCCGGACATCAAGTTCACCGTTGAGCACACACAGCAGGACGACACACACACCATCAGCTCCCTGGACTTGTCCTTATCTGTTTGTCGCTCAGGAGCAATTCAGACGCGCCCACAGGAACTCCTCAACGAATGCCAGGAAAAGTGAGAGGAGAGAAGAAAATAGAAAAGCTGCTAGCCGACAACAACTACCCACAGCACACCATCAGCACAGCCAAACACACCCAAAAAGAAGAACAACAACAACAACCCACGCAGACCACGCCGACAGCGCACACCCACAGCCATACTCAACGTGCCATTCGTGAATGACCATTTGGCTCGTGATGTTCGCCGTACTGTACGTTCGTTCAGTAAAGACGTGCGTGTAGTATTCCAGTCTGGTCGTTCGCTAAAGGATATGTTGGTGTCGTCATCGTTGTCCCGCCCTGAATGCCCAAGAGAAGTGTACCAGAAGAAGAAGAAACAACGAGGAAGGCCTGTTGAGTGTCGTGCCTGTGATGCCAGTATACACGTTGGTAAATGTGTGTCCCAGGATGTCATTTACTCAATGTTATGCTCAGTGTGTACGGAAGATTATGTTGGTGAGACGGAAAGAACTGTTCGTAAGCGATTTGAAGAGCATTGTAGAGAGGCAAGGGCACAGGCACTGGACACACCATGGCGAGAGCATTTTGCACATCACCACCCACATCACACCTACGTTGCAGCACCCTTCACCAACCTTGTCAATAGTCGTATCCGTGAAGCTATGTTTGTTCGTGATAGGCGTCCGTCTGTGAGCAGGGACTGTGGCTGGAGACTTCTGGACAAGGTGGACACCTCTGTCGTGAGGGTGGTGGCTGAAGCGGCTATCCGGTCCTGAGGCAGTTGTGTTCGGTGTCGAAGGCAGTTGTGTTCGGTGTCGAAGGCAGTTGTGTTCCGTGTCGAAGGCCGGTTTTTGACATGACTGTGCTAAGTACATCGTAGTTGTACATTTGGAATTACAATTGTTATTATTTACATTAGACTGTATTTACAGCCATGTTATGACATTAGACTGTATTAACGGCCATGTTTCTCCTTTCTTCCTGTTGTAAATCACTGTCCGGCGTGTATTTACCGCCATATTGCCAGGTGCGTGTTTACCACCATAATTATGAATAAAATACTCAGGTTCTGGACAAGTTGTGAAACTGTCACTTGTATGATTGTGCGTGTTGCATTGAACAATGTTTGGTCTGACTGTGCGTGTTGCCATTGAACAGTGTTTGGTGTTACTGTGGGTCTCAGCGTGGGTGTTGCATTGAACAGTGTTTGGTCTGACAGTGGCCACTGGGTGTTACATTGAACAGTGTTTGGTCTGACTGTGCGTGTTGCATTGAACAGTGTTTGGTCTCAGCGTGGGTGTTGCATTGTCCCCTACATGTGCAACCCTGCTTTTGTCAGTGCTTGGTCTGCAGGCTGCATGTACATGTAGGTGTTATTCTACACATGTAACGTTACATGTACAATCATGTACATTGTAATTCTGTTGGCAGTGTTGCCATGACTTGTCAGTGTTGCCATGACTTGTCAGTGTTGCCATGCTTTGTCAGTGTTGCCATGACTTGTCGTAATAGTAGGTAGGCAATGTATCACTCTGTCTTCACATCTGTCCACTGAGTTGTATCCCTCTGTCTTCACATCTGTCCACTGAGTTTTAATTGAAGCCCCCCCCCCCCCACACACACACAAACACACCTTACCGCTGAGACATACACCACCGGTGCACCCACACTTACCTCCTTCCTATTCTTCACCTAATTATAATACATTCACACCAATATGTTAACTTTCTCAGTGACATAATCATTAGTTGTTGTCTTCATACATGTACATGTAGTTCAATATGTACCTAGGCAATGGATATTTGTCATTCATTTTACCCTGATGATGAGCCAGGCCCGACAATTTGGTGTAATGTGATCTTAATTTGGTGTAGTGTGATCTTAATTTGGTGTAATGTGATCTTAATTTGGTGTAATGTGATCTTAATTTGGCGTAGTGTTATCTTAATTTGGTGTAATGTGATCTTAATTTGGTGTAATGTGATCTTAATTTGGTGTAATGTGATCTTAATTTGGTGTAATGTGATCTTAATTTGGTGTAATGTGATCTTAATTTGGTGTAATGTGATCTTAATTTGGTGTCGTGGTCCATTGTAAGGTAACACCTAGCTGCAGTGCTGAGGATTAGTGACAGGGTATTTGATGACCTGCATGGGAAAGAACACGCTTGATTGAGCCGAAGCTGGATGTTGACCGTGTGGGTCATGTTGGTTTCGAGATCCTGTCCTGAGGGCAGCCGGGGGATGTGTGGTGTTCAGCTTGGCCAGGTGTTGTTGCATTCACTGTAACATCTCGTACTGTTCGGTATGTTTTTCTGTGCGACTACCAGTAGCATTGCTGTGCTTTGTTTCTTTTCTCAGACGTAGATACCATGGATACCTAGATACCATGGATACCTAGATATGCATACACTTATAATAGAAAGAAAGAAAATGAAGTCGATGAGGAGACAATTAAAAAAACCCCGAGAGAGTCGCAATCAATGAAATAATATGCGCAGTCATGATACACAATCATGCAGCCGTGACTCGGTGATGTACTCAAACTGCATGATGACCATCACAAGAAGATGTTCTGAGAGGCAACAACAGTCAACATGTTTCATGCATGATTTGTGTAGATGCATGCTAGTGTAGGATGACTTCACATTATTACATTATTGACTCAAGTTGCGATAAAAAAATCAAGAGTAGGAAATCTATACTCAAGTACAAGCATTGATACTAGCACCTTCGCAATGTATATGCCGAACTTGTGCGATTAGTGCCCCGTGGTTCTATTGTTGTCAATGTACAACACAGCTGGGGCACTATTCAGCTTGACTCAATTTTGGCTAGTACATTTACGCCACCCAGCATGAAAACAAAGAATGCAAATAATATTGGAGCCAAAAATGTTTTGTAAACTATCACGACTCCACAGAAAGGGCAACAAGAACTGCAATTTTGATCCTGAAAGCACCAGTGTAATAACATGGACAAGAATATTAACAAAAGAATACCAAACTTGCACATGCGCTTGGTTATAAGCCCCGGTGGGGCACTCTTCAAGCGAGGGATTTATCGAAAAAAATGGAAAACGCTGTTTCGTTTCGTGGTGCTCCTTGCTCCTTGCTCTCCCCTCCCCTCACTACTACATGTACCATAATACTGTCTACACGGCACTTGTACTTCCCATGCTCACAATATGTACTGGTACATGTACATGTACATGCACAATACTCACTGTCTTTCACTGTCTTTCACAGCCCCAATGGTGGATGTCCGGGAATATCGCGGTGAATTTTGACAAAGATGTACTGTAAATATACAAATTTTCGGCGGCTATTTAATTTCGGCTATATTCGGCACCGACCCAAAACGCCTAAATTAAAACGCCGATGAAATTTTTCACAGCATCTGTCGCAATACCATGCCCTCTACCCCACGCCGAAAATAAATCGCCGCCGAAATGTCAAAAATCGTGAAGTGCCGAAATTTTGCAGCGCCGAAATTTTGTATATTTACAGTACATGACATTGTACTTCTCCACAAAACGGGCCTGGGATTGCTTTTATCCACGGTGACATGAGTTTCATGTACATTGTGCAAGTATCATGAAACCAATGCTACCAAGGCAAGTGCATTCCACTCTTCCACTTCCCAAGTGCATTCCACTCCAGTGTACTGGTGTGGATCTCAGAATTCAAACGACGATTATTTGTTCATGACTGTTCACATATAGCCTACAGTACGTTATCTCTATGCCTATGGGCTGCAGCGCGGAATGGGACATGTACATGTACAATGTGTAAGCACAATATGCATTCATTATGTCTCTTACGGCCTCGGAGATGACGGGACAAAACGAATAACGCCACAAATAAGTGCATTGTAAAGCAAGCTGAAGGGGTTTGTTCAAGAGATATCCCCACATCTGAGGTGCCTGGGTAAAGGTCATTTTCCTTTGAGGGTATAGGCAATCCATGTTCCTAAATGATCAAAACAACACAAAACAATAAAAAAACAATACAGAACAATACACTTCGTAGATTATTTGTGAACGATCCGTCCTCGAAATGCATTTTTATTTTTTAACGAAACCTCCAAAAGACTTACACATACACTGAGACAGTAACAGATGCGCAGCGCTAGACAGCTTGGTTAGTAAGGTTGGAGCATGTATGTCATTGGCGGTGGAACTACTTGATCAGCCCTACAGCCAACGCTGAGCATCTGATCATACCGGCATCATCGTGGAGAGACGGATAGGCTTTCCTTTTCAGCTTTCCTTTTCCTGACCTTTCTTGGTTTCGACAGCTCTCCTGAGAGTGGGTAAATGGCGAGTGGATTCTTTCTGATTATGTCTCTTTTCTGCATGCGTCCAGAGGTGAACAACAGAGAACATAAAGAGTATTGAGAACACAGATCACGGGTGAGCTAAGGAATTATTTTGTAATCTGGAAATAATTTCCACATAACATAAAGAGTAGATTACCGGAGGGTGTACCCAGTGTGCTGACAGTGCTCAACACCGCGGAGGCAGAGCGTAATACAGAACAGAACAACAAGGACAATCAAGGATTGTTTGCTGCGACTTGAAGTTTCATGCTCAGGCAACAACTGTTGCCTGATAATTGCGAGAGCATGAAACTTCAAGTCGCAGCAAACAAGCCTTGATTGTCCTTGTTGTACTGTTCTGTAAAGAGTAGTTTATAATGACTCATTATTTTGTTCGGATGCAGCAAGATAGGCATGCCTATCACTGTCGGAGTCAGTGTGAATGATCATGAAGAACTGCATAAGAAAAGCTTGCATAGTGATACTGCTTCAAGCACGTATTTCACAGAATTTTCCCCTGGGGTCTAAAAATTTACAGTACTGCTATGACGCAAGTCCAACTTTTCAGTACTTTCCGGGGCACACTTTCAGAGGGATGTGAATACACTGGAACTTGATGTACGGTCAACTTCGCTAATAGAGAGGTTAAGATTCACGTTATTTCTGACGTGACGCGAAAGTTCAGCTCGCGTTATTTGGCTCGCATGTCGAAAAACAACGCGAGTGACCTGCAGCTCGCGTCGAAATTTGGAGTTTTACGCCAAATTTGACGTCAAATTGCGCGATATGTCGGAAATAACGTGCATCTTAACCTCTCTAACAACGACTGCGGATATAACGACAATTCGCGAATAACGACAAAATGCCCATGCCCAGAGCAAAGTCCCATCTCTTGTAATACATATAATGTGACTTCGGGTATAAGGACACTTCGCGAATAAGGATACTTTGCTGATGCCCCGCCGAGTGTCGTTATAAGTGAAGTTGACTGTACACCCCTAGTGTCAATTACTTGATGCTTCAACCATAACTACAGTACCCGTAACCAACAACCTCACATCTGCAAAATTATTTCAGTCACAGAATAAGTACAGTAGCAGGACACCAGCATCATCACAAGCCGCACAACCCTGTTTATCCCAATCTCCACTATCTGGATGCTCAATTATTTGGAATGGCTGCTGCGGGTCATGTATGGCGGTGTACAATCCGCATTGTTTAGACTAGCGAGGACTGTGTGAACTACAATGTATGCCGTACAGTGTGAAAAGACAGGATATGCACAAGCACACAAAGGCTGGGTTTTACTCTTTAAAATCCGCCCCATACTTGACAGATAATCCTTTACGAACCTCTACAGATTCTAACTCAGTCAAATCAAGCTGAAGTACAGCAATAGAAAATATCTAGGTCAGTGCACTGCTGCTGTCTAGCTCTGGATATACATGTACATGTACATGATTGTACAGTGTCCTGGCTATCATCTTCAATCTCATTCTTTCCTCTTGCAGAGATCTTTCCAGGATGCCAAACATGTTAATTGATGAGCAAGTAGAACCGATGTTAAATTCCAAAGAACATGAGATAGTTGCATCCGTGCGGATCTGTAGCTCATTCAGTTGCTCATTCAGTGGGGATGTTTCCTTTCTCCATCTTCCTTCCCCTATTCCCTTATTCATTATTTTCTCACTATTGCCCTAGTTTTGCAGTCCAACTCATGGGATAGGTTTGATTAGCTTGTCACCTTTGAAGGCGTGAATACAGGAGAGGATGTAGACAGCGTTCTAGCCCGGTGAAATTAGTAGAGGAGAGGTGGGGGATGGGGGTGGGGGGTGGAGAGGGGCCAGGGGATGCAGTGGCAGTTACCCCATTACCAATTTTTACATTTCCCTAAAATGTCTTGCCACGCAAATGCAATGTAAGGGGCTCTCCCAGACAAGTGAACCCTTTATGATCCCTCTTTTAGCGAATATCAACTGCATTTTTCGTTGAATGGCCTGAAAAAAAAACCAGAAAATCGACAAATTAGTACGGGGCGCCACTTTTTCACAGGGGGGGGGGGCTCAATCAGAGTAGGGGGGGGGGGGGGGGCGCTGCCCCCTACCTCTTTGGATAGAACCCTGTAATAATAAAATGAAACAAAATGTACGTATCATCTTCGTCTACCATTCGGTGATGTAGTCTAACTGAAGACTATCGCCAGAAATTAAGAGAAATCAAAAAGTTCTAGTGATGTCGTATACAGATGCATGTACACACGATAGCGTATTCTTTGCGATTCTTAATGTACTTAACAGTAGGGAGCGACGGATGGTTTAAGAATGAAGTTAAGATGGCATATCTCGACGCAGTTCACACAACCAGTCAGGAAGATGCTTCTCATACCGTGTCGAACGTTTTCGTTTCCTGCTTTTCAAGGATTGTATGCGGGAATGGCTCGAAATCTGGATGTCGTGGATAAATGTCTACCTCCTTCTAAGTGTTGTTATCTCTTTATCTTTACGCCATAGAAGTTGTAGTCCTGTTCCTTTTTGACCTTCAAGCACAGTGTTGCTAAAAGAAAAACGATTGGGTGAATCAATTTGAGCCCCGCACCAGATTGATCCCCACACCAGTTTGAACCCAGCACCAGTTCGCATCCCAGTATTCGCAGGTCTATGGCTGTCATTGAGGAGAGCGGTACTTCTTCTTGAAATGCACAGCGTGCACTAGATGCATTTTTAACATGTGTCTCGCTCCACGGTTTGTTTTAAATATAGTACATCAGGTTCAATGATTCTTACCGCGCTAGTCAGCTGGCGTCTTGCCATAGAATAATCTCCTTCGTCTGCCCATACAAATGCTCTTTCAAGGGCCTTAGCTGATGTGATGCGGCTATAGTGACGGTTAACTCGCAGGTTGGGTGAAAGATCAGCTGAAAGTTGCTTGACTCTGCGTACTTCCAGCGAGGCTTTCTTCATCTCACGCATACTTGTCATGACATTGAAGCAGGTCAGCTTAGCCTTAAGAATAGCAAACTCATCAAGCTCTTTGGGTACATCAGGCTGATCCAAGCAGAACACACAGTCGCGGCATTCTTCTGACTGGATATCTGCCAGAGGCAATGTAATAGCAACACCACTACCACTTGATTGGGTACTTCGGCCCGCATAGGCTTCGATTATGTTACAATTGTTCTCAGCCGAGACTTCCAGGGATATATTACGCACAACTGTGCTAAGCAGTCCACCCAAGCAGTCGGCAAAGGACTCTGGAATCTTCTCGGATGAGTCAATGTGGTAGTACATTCCATTACCAGCCTTACTCACTGCTTGCAACAACTCGGCATTGTGATCGGGACCAAAGCCAAATGTGTAAATACTGGCAGCCACAATGTCACTTAGTTCAGTAGAATCAGCTATTGTAGAGGTTACTACAGGTGTTGTTGCTGGTGCCGATACTGGCTGTGGGGATGCTTGTGGTAGTGATGGTGGAGGTGGTACTGTCGGTTCTTGTGCTCGAGCCGTGATGTTGTTGTGAGCACGATAGTTTCCTGAAGGATACAAGCCATGTCGGCCTCGTTGTGTTAAGCAAGCAATTATTTCTTCCTCTGAGGTCAAGCCCTGATTGGCTTCACCACCCGTCATCAAAAGGATAGACGACACAGATTTCTTCTCCTTTTCGGCATTTGCATCTCCACTGGAATTCTCTTTCTGCAGATCTTCAATTATGGCCAGCCCTTCCACAAGTCCTCCACATAGATTTGTTCCTCCTTCTGTATGCAAGAGCTCAATGATAGAGGTCGCTTGAGCTTTTCCGCTCGCATCCATCCTCCAAAGTGTACCAAATGATGTCACTCCGGTGTCGTAAACCACGATCCCCAGCTTGTCGTGTTCATTCACTATCAACATAATACATGAAGAGAAAGTCACATTAGGTGAAGTCACACAGGAATTGAAGGAGGTCTCTGAATGATCAGGGTTGAGGCTGAAAAGTGAAAGCATACAATTTTAGGGGATCTATAATAATTACTTCGAAATATGGCCTTCAAGGAGTTTCTGTCATAGTACACCGGTGCACCAGCCCACAGAGGCATGCAGTATGTCATCGTGTACATACTGTTTTCTCTACCATTCTGTCTCAGTTTCCATTGACCGTGGTGGATTGTACCAAGTCTTAGGTTCAACTGTTATGTTCGTGTGGAGACGAGCAACGCACAGGATTCTGTGCATCATTCCAGGAGTACCACTACTACAGTCATTGGCAAATAATGCCGGCCAATGCCGATACCATGGATATAGTGGTATTCATTTATTTTACTTATTTTAATTACAAGTAAAAAAAAGAGGACCAAAAGTTTACAACTTAAGTTATCCGTTTTGTCCAACACTAACGGTTATAAGAAGAATACTGTTGAGTCAAAAATGTGCAACAATTAGCACAAAACTGACTGATGAGATCATGACATCACCTTCACCCTGTTGTTGACTTGTTCAGCTGAATTATATTTTTCCACACGTATAGCGTGAGTTCTCAATCTATGCTTTTGCTCTATAAGTTGCTGTATTTGACATTTTTCCATTATTCCTTATATGTATATGATTTTACTTAGTCAAGTGGTGTGCTTCACTGTCCGAAGAGTGCTCAATGCCCATGTAGGGCAGAGCCTTGTACACAAGAGAGAGTTTGGAAGCTTTGTCACAACTCCGAGTTTCACGTATCTCTACGATCATCACTACGCCTGATGATCGTAGAGATACGTGAAACTCGGAGTTCTGACAAAGCTTCCAAACTCTCTCTTGTCGTCAGGCGAAATAGCACGTCATCGTACATTTGAGATCAGCGGGAAGAAGATGACGACGTCCACTAATTTAGTATCTGTGCACACGAATCTGCTGTGTGTGTGACTCTGTGTGCCAGCTATGATATCATCTTCTGTGGTTCCATGCCTAGCATGTACGTCTGAATCATCCTGCAAAGTTTGAATGACGTAGGTTGAGCGATCGCTCCGCGAAATATACTTTTTGAAATTCTCTTCATAGTATATCTTCCACCATTGAAATTTCGAATTTCTTCAAAAAAAGTGCTGAGAGGGGTGGCTTGCAACCTCGATATGGCTTGTTCCAGGCATGCTTTGAAGCCAGCTTCTGTTGAAGTAGTGGCGGGGATCTGCCCTGCAACTGCTACAACAAAAAATGATTCAATCTCAGAAAGGGTGAGACCGCGAATCTCGGTTGAATATTGAGTATTTCAAGCCTTTTCACGACGAAGATGGAGTTCTTTTTGGAGATGGACGTCGCGGCAAAGGACATGGTGTCCGACGTCTGGCGTCTGGTGAAGCCACGGATCATTTGTCCAGTCAGGTCGGCATCCTAACCGTCGGTAAGCTTGTGTTTGGATCCCGTTCTGCTCGATGTGGTAGATCACAAACAATTTGATATCGCACAAATTGATCTCAGCATCGTGCGTACGGTATTTTATATTCAGAAAATCCCAAAGTGTCTCTGTGTGGCCGTCCTATGCCACGAGAAACTCCAATCAGGCTCCTATGTCCTCTGCTTTCATGATTGAATGTCCACTTCGTTTGAACAACGAACACAACAATCGAGGACGGCTTTGCAATGAAAAATACAGCTATACTGGAGCTGAAAAAAAGAAGAAAAAAACGTGCTCAGGATGAGACTCGAGTACACGCATACTCTCCCAGCAGGTGAAACGCAAATTTTTGTGAAAAATGCGTGACGCCGACTGACCAGTAATTTCGCCTGACGGTATGATTTTACTTATTTTTTTCAAGCAATACATGGCTGGGGTAGCCAATGACCACTTTGCGTGGCGATTGCAGGGTTCTTATAGCCACCGGTACGCATTCACCGGCGCTGCTGCATCGCGCAATGTTGGTATTCTTGCAAATAAGTTATTTTTATTTTTAGTCTTTTCGAGCACAGCACTGATCAGTCTGATCTGCAGTCAAGCACTGCACTGAGTGTATGCAGGGAGACCAGGCAGCAGCAGCACATAGTCCACTCAACTACAGTACTGTTGCTTGCCGAAGATCTGGGGGGTCAGCTTCCTAGCCTAGACCGTTCTTATTTCCATGACTGTATTCCAGTCTATGCACAGTTCAGTAACCACGCATACGTTGGTATGCTGTGCTTGACGAAATTCTAGCCTGGTCGTTCGTTCTTCGGCGCCCGACAGTACTGTACCGGTTGTGTATAGTGGCTAGTATGCCAGCTGTGGTAGTGCATGCAGGCTGCAGCCCATGATGGACTGTACAGCTAGCATAGCCACCAGACCAGACAGTCCCCTTGGAATTCTGCGACAAATTCCGCGATTTCCGTGTGTTCCGCGAATCTAGCATTTTCCGTGGAAAACGTCCAATTTTCTTCATTTTGCCTCAACGAGGGAAGCATGGATGCCGTGAATGGTATTTTCGTTCTTTGACCACTTTGCGATGGGTAAGATCTACCCACCTCCCACCGTTTAGGAGCTGCATCTGCTCCTTGATCCAAGAGTGTGGTGGCTAGGGCCCAGCGGATAATGCTCCGAAAATGTTTGTATAATGCTAATCATAATGCTCCAAAAACTACCTTGTAATGCTGATTATAATGCTTCAACAAGGGCTATAATGCTCTTGGTTTGGAACAAGAATGGAAGAAAGACTGCACATTGTCAAACTTCCAGGAAAAGATGCATTTAGTCGATCGCCCTCTTAAGCTGCTACAATATCTCTCACGAGCTCTACCACTTCTTAGCCTTATAAGACATGATCGCGTCTCCATTGCAACTTTGACGCAGGGCTGTGGCTGAATAGTGGGTGTATCAAATCTTTTCCCTTGCTTATCCATGTGGTGAGAGGTGAAACCATTATTGATGGTGATCATTTGGATGTTAGAAGCTTACCATGGGAAGTGGTATTTCTGCCTGCAGACAAGCTGTTACTGCTTCCACTCTGTGAAAAATGTCTTCATCTGAAACAGCTCACGTGAGGCCAGTTCCTGAGAGACGATCTCAGATCGAGATCCCTCCCATTTGCGGATATCCGGAAAATACGTGATCAGAAGTTATTTTGCCGCTCTACATCCTCTGCTGTCTTCTTCTCCTGAGGTTGCGTGGAGACAAATGGTTGGCCGCAATACTCTTTTCTAATAGCACTTGACTGTAGGCCTTGCATTACAATCGTCCACGACGAACTGTGCATGCTTCACCAGGAGAATAAGACAAGCGCCGCTGAGCACTCAAATCGACTTGGTACTGCGTCCATGAGAAGTTCTAATTCTTTTCGAGCCTGCTGAGCTGGATTCGGCAAAGGCAGTTATTTGGAACAAGCTCTTTCTGTTTATAGCCGCTCCTTCATCCAGGTCCAAATTTATCAATGGATCAGTGTGTACTTCAGTATCACTAGAGATGCTGTGACCAGAGCCTCAGTATGGCATAACAGGAAACTCCTCTTTGTCTGTTTGATATTCACTTCGCGTACGTCTAGTCTCCTTCACGGCTCTCCATGATTTCTAGAAAATAATTCGTTGTAAATCATCGTTCCTGATTTTGTGTAGCAGCCTCAGTTGCAACGTTGGGCATGCTACATCACTGTACATTTACCCGACTACATAATTTCTAGCTAGGCCACCCAGAATTAATTCGTTGTTTCGGGTCACCCGACCGACCGTCTTTTTTCACCCGACCGCAATTTTTTTTTATAGTGCATGCAAATGTACATGTACATGACTAGACTATGTACTAACATGACTGTACACACGCGCATAGCTAGCAGTCCAGACATCGACCTCAGAAGCAGCCAAATAAAATAACAGGATGAAGCGCTTGGTGACGATGTGGTCTTCCGATCCGCAATCGGTCCTGAAACAGCATCAGCTCCGCCACCGCGTCGCTCTTTGACCGTAGACGTTTTCAAGGTGAGAGCTGCTCCTCAGACTCGTTTGCCAGCGAGGCCAAGGTCTGGTCCTAGAGGGGACCTGGGTCTGATGGGACAATGACTGCGCTGGATCGTCTACAGTCATGATTTGATCGACTGGCTTGATGGACAAAGGCTATTCGATATGCACAATTGTACAATCATGTACATGTATGCACATATACATGGCAGTAAGCAAAATAAAAAATAAAATAAAATAAAAAGTTAACCTGACCCACCGACCCTGGTACGGACGAGTGAAGTGACCCGAAACAACGAATTAATTCTAGGTGGCCCTACATAAAGACTTTATGTAGCAATGGCATTACAATGTCATGTATGTAGTCAGGTAAATGTAGAATTAGTGCTAAATGTGTTACGCGTCTACAAATCACAAAGTCATGTGCCGGTGCAATACCATGTGCGTTGCACCTCATGAGTCATGGCTTCAGCCGATTGTGGCCAAAAACCTGAGATTTCCCTACACTATCCACTATGAAATTCGTTATGCCGCTCAAACCTCACTTCTTGTTCCTTTCTAATGCTCCATAATGCTCTGATGCTGGGATTACCCCTTTCCCAAAGGTGCTCGCCCTTTTTGGCCCTTTTTGGAAAAGCCCGTTTCTTTCTGCCCTTTATTGCGTTTTTTGGTGAATATCGCCCTTTTTGAGCCTTTTGAGCTGAAAAAGTGCCAAAATCTGTTTGCTCATGCATGCCGTCACAGTTTCCGAGTGCTCGATGGCCTTGGTACGCCGCTTTTTTGGGGGCAACAAGTTGGTGAAGCTTGTACCCGGTGTAAAAAGTGGGTTTTTTTGAACTTTACTTCCTGTTAACATGTTTTGCCTTTCGTAGACCCATAAATGGAAGAGTGCGTATTCATTTCTCAGCTTGGGTTCATATCTGAACATGTATCATGGTTATGCTTCACTGAAAAAGAGCACTTTTTGCCTGTTTTCACTTTTTTAGCATATTTTGAGGGATGC